GTCTGAGAAGATGAAAAAAGTTCTGGAGATGGTGTGATGGTTTAACAACAATGTGAATGTAATGCCAATGAACTGTACACTTAAGAATTATTAAAATGGCATATTTTTAGTGTGTATATTTTCCTATAATTAAAAAAAAAGTTGGGCTTCACAATACAACTAATGCACATGTATTAGTTAACAAAGGTTAAACTGCTGTAAAAATTAGACATAAAAGAAATAGCTGAAACAAAATAGAAGTTTATTTTTCTTTACTTTAACAGATTAGAGTAGATGTTCCCAGTTAGTGGGAGGAGGAAGAAAGGTAGTTTCTACTCTAAGTAATTATTTAGTGACCCAGATTAATGGGGACTCTGCCATCTGTAACTCATTCTTACCAAGATGATTCCAGCCCAAAGGAAGAGAAAAAGAGTATGGAGGAGACTCATGAGGGTTTTATGGACCAAGCCCACTGGTCCTCTGATGCTTGCACACATCACTTCTGCTCACATTCTATTGGAGATAATGAAATGCAATTCATAGAGGAAAAGTAAGAGAGGGCAAAAACCTTCATTGATATTCTTCATGGATGTGTACCAAGTACTGTAACATTGCCTGGACTATACAGGCTATTCAATAAATATTTTTAATAGAATTGAAATACATATATTGGAATACCGTGTAACTCTTTGAAATGGATAAAGTAAATGTACACCTATCTATACTGACATGGCATAATAATTATAAATATTGTTGACTGGAAAGGTTATATAACTAAATATAGATGAGTCAATTTTTATAAAATATGTATATTTTAAATGTGTCAAAAATAGACATGAATGGAACTAGAGGGTATTGTGCTCAGTGAAATAAGTCAGGCAGAGAAAGACAAATACCAAATGATTTCCCTCATTTGTGGAGTATAACAACAAAGCTAAACTGAAGAAACAAAATAGCAGCAGACTCACAGACTCCAAGAAGGGACTAGTGATTACCAAAGGGGAGGGGTGTGGAAGGGCGGATTGGGAGGGAGGGAGAAGGGGATTGTGGGGTATCATGATTGGTGCACATGGTGTGTGGGGGGTCACAGGGAAGACAGTGTAGCTCAGAGAAGATAAATAGGGACTCTGTGACATCTTACTACACTGATTGACAGTGACTGCAATGGGGTATGGAGGGGGACTCGATAATAAGGGTGAATGTAATAACCACATTGTTTTTCTTGTGAAACTTTCATAAGAGTGTATATCAATGATACCTTAATAAAAAAATAATACAAAAAAATAGGATGGATTAATGGATGAATATGTGATAAAATAATTTTAATTATAGAATTTAAATGGTTATATGGGTTTTCTCTGTTCAATTTATTCAGTTTTTCAGTATTTTATCATGAAAATGTTAATCATAAAAATTTGGAAAGATGTGTATATAAATCTGTATTTCTGAAGAGTGGGTTTGGGGATAAGGATGGAACTTTTCAGGCTATAAATTTTATAGAAAACAAAAATTGTACATAACCCTTTGACATGATAATTCCATTTTTAGGAACCTATCCTAATATAGTAATTCTAAGTATAATAAATATAGAAATAAATATTTAGAAAACTTTTCATGCTGGAAATGTTTTATAATAACAAATATTTGGAAGCATCCTGCATGTCTAATAACTGTGATCATAGGAGAATGATCACATTTTGGTGTAGTACTTAGGTTCTAAATGATAAACACAATGTAATAATATAAAAAGTGTTTAACATCTTCACAACATAGTGGCAAAAAGTGATACCAAATTTTACAAACATAATTGCAATCATTCTTTAAATGGTGCACATAGATAACATAACATCATCATATGACCCCCAAATTCCACTCTAAGGTACTCAAGAGAAATAAAAACATATGCCTGCACAAAACTTGCATATGAATCTTCATAGCAGCACTACTCAAAATAGCCCCAGAATGGAAACAACCCAAATGTCTGTCAACTGGTAAATGGAGAAACAAATAGGGTATATCCACAGAATGGAAAATTGCTTGGCAATAAAAACACATAACAATACTGATCCATGCTACAACATGGAAGAATCTTGAAAACATACTGAGTGAAAGAAGCCAGACAAAAAAGCCATATATTGTATGATTCCATTTATTTGAAATGTCCAGAACAGGCTAATATATAGGAACACAAAGTAAATTATTGGTTGCCTAGGGCTGGGGAGGTGTGGGGAAATGGAGAGTACTATTAATGGGTATGGGGCTTCTTTGGGGATGATGAAAATGTTCTAAAATTGATTGTGGTGATGGTTGCACGACTGTGAATATACTAAAAGCCATTGAACTGTATACTTTAAATGGGTGAATTCTATAGTATGTAAATAATACCCCGATAAAGCTGTTTTAAAAATATTTTTAAATAGTATGCATAGAAAATTGGGGAAAACCTGTATTTGAGGTGGTAGGATGATGGGTAATTAAATTCTACTTTTCTGTATTGCCCAGTTGTTTTGAGTGTATATTACTTTTTGTAAGCTGGGGAGAGGAAATCCCGGAGCAAAATACCTCTAAAAACCAAAACCAGTCAAAGGGAGAAATAAAGTTTAAAACCCGTTTACTGGCCCCTCCCCTTAAACTCTCAGGTTCAGACACGCCCTCGGTTGCCCAGGTAATGACCCATTGACATGGAGATAAACTTCTCTCCACCCCTGAGGATATGCAAATACACTAAAGCCAGGCGAGATACTCTGGAAATGTTACAATTTTACCCACATTTTTTATAAGAAAATAAACCTTTTTCAAAAGCACCTGATACACGTTTCAGAGAACACTTAAATGTAAATAACCAGCATTATTACAACCATTCCTCTTATCTCTTTGTAGTGTTGGTGGAGTGTTGTGTATTTTCCTAAGTCCTTGTGATGCCAGGTTTCTTGTTCATGAAGCTGAAGAATGAGCTTCACAAACACTCAAGGTAGGAGAGTAAGGTACAGGCTTTTTATTTAGAAACAAAGTGAGAGGAAAGAGCTCCTGGCTCACGCCAGGAGGGGACAAGAGAGCCTGTAGTGGTGCGTTGTCTAGGGGGTTTTATAGGCAGTTGAAGATTTTTCGAGAACATGAAAAAAACTTAGGGGTATGGACTTGCATCACCTGCCCTGTCCTCAAGGTGGGCTGGGTCATAGTCTGATTGCTGGGGCTGACAGCAGAGTCACGAGGTATGGTGATACCCTTGCCGAACAAACATTCCAGGCCAAGTTGCTCCTGGCCTTTTGACCTTTAACTGATCTCACTGAAGATATCTATATTCTTAGGTATCTTTCCCTAGAGAATTAGTGTGACTTTGACTTTGCATAATGCTTAACAGAGTTTCAATGGGGACTTCTTTGCCCATTGTTATATTGCTCTGACTAAATATTCCGCCCTGCTTTTCCCAGAGGCGATCACCCTATTCTGACTACACCCATGGTCCCTGTCTCACTTGTCTCTGCCGCAACAAAGAATTGAAGCCCAGAGACAGAGTAGTAAAACAGTTAAGTTTCATTTAAGTAAGTAAGGCCGCCTCAGCAAGAAGAGACGCCCTGAAAGGATGGAGAAAGTTTAAGATTAAAAGGTTACACACTTAGAAAGTGTGGGTGACCTCAGAGAGAGGAGCGCCCCGAAAAGCTGGGGGTTCCCCCTTTTAGGGATTCTTTAGGAATGTGACTAAGGGCTGGGGGTGTAGACTTGTTAAGTGGTTTTTTAATACTTAGAATTAACTTAACACAAGGAACTTCCTGTTCTGATTTCTCAGGAGTCTTGGTCCGGGAGCTTATCAAACAAGGCTTCCTGCCCAGCCCCAAGGTGGGCTGAGTTACTGTCTGTTTGCTAGACTAAGTTAAGAATCTTACTTCTTAACTTCCTGGGTATTAAAATACAATCTTTAAGATGGAATCCTTCCTGCCTCTTACTATGTTGTTTATGGCTCGGCCTGCATGCTTACTTAACACAATAAAGACATGGGCTATGTTGAGATACTCTCCTTTATCTGGGGAACGTTCAAACATTCCAGGCTAAGTTACTCCTGGCTTCTGAGTTTTAATTGATTAACTCTGGGTCTTTTTAGTGGACTTCTGGCCTTTTTCTCTTTCCACCCTGCTCTTACCTATTTTTCTGCCTAGCAGTAGGTTGTGCGTCAAAAATTTTTTTCATATTACATATATACTCCAGCTTGGTCAGGAGGAGGGAGTTAATTCAGGCAGCTACACCGGTGGGAAGGACCGAATCAACCTGAGACAGGAACGGTGCAGTCAGAGTAGGGTGAGGGCCTCCGGGAAAAGCAGGGTGGAATGTTTACAGTGAGAGCAATGTAATGGGCAAAGAAGTCCCCACTGAAACTAAGCATTATGCAAAGTCAAGGTCACACTAATTCTCTAGGGTAAATATATAGACATCTTCAGTGAGATCAGTTAAAGGTCAAAAAGCCAGGAGCAACTTGGCCTGGAAGGTTTGAGTGTTCTACAAGGGTATCAGCATAACCCGCCCTAGCAATCAGACTATGACCCAGCCCACCTAGAGGACAGGGCAGGTGATGCAAGTCCACACCCCGAAGTTTTTTTCGTGTTCTCGAAAAATCCTCAACTGCCTATAAAACCCCCCAGACAACGCACCACTATGGGCTCTCAGGAGCTCTATTCTCTCACTTCATTTCTAAATAAAAGCCTGTACCTTGCTCTCCTACCTTGAGTGTTTGTGAAGCTCATTCTTCGGCTTCATGAGCAAGAACCCTGGCATTAAACCCATGGCCCGTTTGCCCAGGATCAAACCCTCCCTACCCAGTTGCTGAAAGGCTCAAAGCTCCTTCCCCTCTCTGCTTGAGGGATACCACTACCACAGTCTTTCTGATCTCATCTCCCTTTTAATGAGGTCACAGCCCCCGCAGTGGGTTGGGGAGGGTGACAGGCCCACTGGCCATTGGCCAGGGCCTCACCTCCCTCCCAGGGGTCACGGTTCCACGTATCGGTGTCAAGAGTCCCCTCCCTCGGGAGCTGTGTCACAGGCCACCGGCAGTTTCACAGTTGCACAGGTCTCCGGCCCTGGTCGCGCCCTCCTTCAGTCGCAGTCCCGGTTTCGCGCCCAGGAGCCCCTGGTCCCTCCCCCGCGGACGGCAGCCCCTCCTCCAGAGGCGCGGTGGTGGCCCAGGGGCCCCCGGCTCTTCCGGTGAGTCCCTAGGGCACACGTGCGAAGCCTCTCAGCCCGGGGAGCCCGCGCCGGCCGCTTAGCCTTCGCGGGAGGACGCAGACCAGTTGCAGCCCCCGTCCTCGGCGACTCCTGGCTGTCCTGGCGGCCACGGGTCGCGAGCCCAGGGGTGGCCGAGCCGCCGCGGCGCTGCGGCGGGTGGGCGGAATGGCGGCCGGCTCAGTGCGGGAGGCCGGCCTGGCCCGGCTGCTCTTCTACCCGACGCTGTTATACACGCTATTCCGAGGCAAGATGCCAGGCCGGGCGCGCCGCGAGTGGTACCACCGCATCGACCACGTCGTGCTGCTGGGCGCGCTGCCGCTGCGGAGCATAACGCGCCGGGTGAGCCAGACCGGGAGGCCGCACCTGGGAGTCAGCGAGGGCCGCCCGGATCTCGGCGGCCCCTCTGAGCACCCTCTTTGCCTCGGCAGTTGGTTCAGGACGAGAACGTGCGTGGGGTGATCACCATGAACGAAGAGTATGAGACGAGGTTCCTGTGCAACTCCTCAAAGGTGAGGGGCCGGGGCCCGTGAGTGGGAGCCGGGTCGGGGGCGACCGGCAGCCTGGATCCCCGCCCCGGGACTGGGAGAACCTGAAGAGGTCGGGAGAGGCGGTGCCGCGGGGGCCGTGCCCGGGACACGGGTGTCTCCCAGGCTTTTTTGCCTCCTTGGGAGGAGGGTCTAGACCTGTAAGCTTAAATGGCTGCTGCTGGAGGTAGAAACTAATTGTGAAATAGAAACTGATGTGAAAGGCATTTAAAAAGAGATTTGACACAGCCTCACCACTCCTTTGTACACAAATGTATTCTTAGTTTAGATAACTCAAATCAGTAACCAGAATAGAAAGGCAACTTTTCTGTGGCTTGCTGATTTCATTCATAGACCTCCTACTGAGCACAAAATACGGATCAGGCATTCAAGATGAAGGCTGTATAAAATCTTTATGACGAAAAGTACACCCTCCATGCCTCCCTCATCCCCTGGGAAGTTTATCATAAAACCACCAGTAAAAAACTGCATAGGGTTCACTTGGCTCTGATTTGAGGAAACTTTTATTCATATGTTAGAGACATAGTGGAACTCCAAAGTCCAGTTATGAAGTTCAGGCCTAAAACATAATTTTCATTAAATGTGAATGCCTGTCTGTGGAACTCTCCATAATGGTCATTAGATGTTGCCCTACCTTTATAGTGTTTGACATCCATCAGCACTACGCTATTATTTTTCTTGTTTACTGTACTGATAAAACCTAATGAAAATCCTATTATTTCAGCCCATGGATTTTTTGAAACCTTGAAAATATTTGTGACTCACACTTAAAATATATTAGTGATGACGTATATTTTTAAGAAATGGATAACAGTTCCTGAGATTTCCCAAAGCACTTTGACACAAAGTTCATGAGTTATTAGCCAAAATAGTAAGTGTTCCTTAGTGTGGTCAGTCCTGTGACATAAGAGGAGTCACAAAAAAGTGCTTGGTCTCTGTAAGTGTAAGGACTGACATTTGTAGGATGTGGCTATATTATTGCACTAGCCCTTGGAGAAATCTCCAAGGCAGTGGTTCTCTTAATTTAAGATGCCTAAGTGTTATCTGGCAGCCTTCTTAAAATACCAGATTCCTAAATACAATCCCCAGAGATTCTGAGTCAGGAGCTTAAAGGTGGGTCTGCGGAATATAGCAGCTCCCTGGGTATTTCTGGTATAATTTATGGCTAAGACACATGCTGTATAATTCTGCTGTTTTTGTTAATTTCATGAACAGTATAAAATATTGACCTTCATTCAGAGTCATAAAGTCTCTGGTTCCAGCTAAAGAGATTAATAACAAGAATAGCTGGAGCCTATTTGAAGTTTTAAAGCAAGAAAAAAATATAAATTGCCTGGTTTGCCAGAGGCCTTATTTCACCTATTTCTTCTTTTCTTTGTTTTGGTAATACTGCACTAGCAAAAGTAGGTATATTGTTTTAATTTTACTAACCTATTTTTTACCACACACCCTAAAAAAAGTGGTAAGAATAGAGGAGACTTAATGGACAGAGAAATAGAAAGCTCTTGCAAAATATAGTGGCCTAACACTGCAGCTGGATCACTGCACAGGTGCCAAAATTATGCAAAACCATAGATAATTACACAACTTTTGTAGCTGAATTTTATACAGCTAATATTTTGCAGCGAAATATTCAAATACCCAGAGTACTTTAAGAACACTTTATATCTTAGACATAATTCTAACTCAGAAGCACAGCTGTTTGATGAAAGACCAACCATGTAGATCAGCCATTTTAAAGACATTTTTGTAAGAAGTTTATTGTTTAGAAAACAGTGAACAGTATATTCACATTGTAGTAAATCCTTATTGATTTGTTGCCTCTTGGGTTGCCATGCGTATACCACTCACATCAGACTTTTTTCATTCTCTTTTTTATGCTGGTGGATCTGGTTCCAGGAGTGGAAGAAAGTAGGAGTTGAGCAGCTGCGGCTCAGCACGGTTGACATGACTGGAATCCCAACCTTGGCTGATATCCAGAAGGGCGTCCAGTTTGCTCTCAAGTACCAGTCCCTGGGCCAGTGTGTCTATGTGCATTGTAAGGCTGGGCGCTCCAGAAGTGCCACTATGGTGGCAGCATATCTGATTCAGGTAGGAAAGGTCTTTCTGGACTGGCCCCATTACAGCAGATTTCCAGAACTCCAGTAGTATGGTCTGTTTGGTACTTTGCTGGAAGGAGCCATGCCCTCAGCTTGAGGCTTTTGGAAGGTGGAAAGCACCTGAGCTTTGCAGATAGGTTTACCTCTGGCATTGCCACCTGCCAGCTGTGTGACCTCAGGCAAACGTGACTTCCCCTCTCTAATGTACAGTTTCCTCAATCTAAACGTGTTATGAAGCTTGAATGAGAAAGTATTCCAAGCACTAACCTACAGCAGGCACTCAAAAACTGGAGGTGCAAAGGATGTTAGCACCAGCAGAAAGCTAAAAACACTTGTTCTAAATAGCATGTCAGGAAATCTAGTACTGTAAATAATAGTACCGATCACTTGCAGCTCTGTTGTACTCAAATTTCAAGTATTTCAGGGTAAAGTTCTGGACATTAGTTTCTAAAAACAATCCAACAGAATTTTGCCTGTTATGATCAGCAGGGGGGATGCTTTTAATATTTAGAAGCAAATACTCTCTAGTCCATTCTGCTACATGCCCCCAGCTTGACTCATTTTTGTTACTCATCTGGCTGGCCCCTGCAGAGCATTTACAGAGTCATGGAGTTTAAAGAACAAGGAAATGTAAAGATAACTAGCCTGCCTTTGTGTGATGAACTGGTGAGTATATGACTTTTAACAGTACCAAAGCTTTGGTCATTAGGATGTTGCTGGTAACAGGGCCTCAGGAGGCTATTTTAGGCCAAGTGAAAATTGACCCAGCAGGCTAGAAACCTGTGTTTTCTTGGTTCTGTTGAATTCTAAACCAGTAAGTATCCTTAGAACACAAAGATAACCCTCCTCGTTAAATTTAAGAAGTGCTGTTTTTCTAGCTGTGGTGACAAGTTGCATAAAAATATCTACTGTATACTCTTTCCAGGAAACTTGTAACCAACAGCCTAGCTCAGGGAGAACATCTAGTAGGCCTAGGCAGGCAGAATTTAGGATCTCAGCTTCACTTACTCAGTCTTTTTCCAGGGTTTAGTAAAGCAAGAATTAGATAGAAATACTGACATCCCCAACCCTGTTGCATAGTATTGCAGGATGGGTTGACTGAGGGGGTTGAAGTGCTTACTTATTTATAATATATGGAACATGGTTTTTATTTACCCCCCGACTCCATCAAGTTTTTAAAAATGAGAATCTGGGAGCCTTTTAGCATCTGTTATTAGGTTAAGGCCACTGCAACACTTTCTCTGATTTCCCAATCCTGTACTTCAGGTGTACAATTGGAGTCCAGAGGAGGCTGTAAGTGCCATCACCAAGATCCGCTCACATGTCCACATCAGACCTGAACAATTTAAAGTTCTCAAAGAATTCCACAAAATCACTGCAGTGACAGCAAAGAAGTCTTTTCATACGTCATAGACATGAAGTACTTGGATTTGAAAGAGCTCAAGACAGCCTTGCTTGCTACAGAATGAAAAAGTTTAACAGGAACAAAATGGGACTTAAGCCCAGGCTTGACATAACAGAAATGTTGCTAAGTAGTAGATAATTTTACTCCTTGTCTTGTTTCATTTTCCTAAATAACACTGTTGTATGCCTAGAAAGACTGAGTGTGGCTTCTATTCATAGGGTCATGGGATAGGGATGGCAAGTGTCTTATTTTCTTGAATAGGGTCAAAGAAATTGTGCCCTAGCAATGTGCCTAGTGATATTTAGTACTGTAACTCAAAGATATTTAATAATAGGAAAAGAGAAATACTCAGCTCTTCTTTGCCACTATCAGAATCACAATTCGCTGGCCCCATGGGGCTCTCCTCCTTTTTTGGAGCAGTTATCCTGTTTGTAGGAAAGTATGGGATTCAATCAGTATTGCAGTTGATTTATTAGAAACATGTGGATATGTAATTAGTTCCCATTAGGAAGTGACTCCTTCAGAATTCAAAACAGACACACATCTCTCTTAAAAAACTTTATTTGTATGAACAGTTCCTAGCTCTTGACTTAGCTTGGCACTTTTAAAAGAGGAGAGACCTGTATGTTTGAGTTTGAAAAAAGTTTCTGCTATCAGAAATAACCCTTTTAACTTCTGGTTAACCCCTTGAAGTCAGCCAAAAATAAAACCAAACTATACATTTCCTGACAGATGAGAAAACAATGGATGGAATGTCTTGAATTCTAGAGTTGACTCTTGCTGGTGAAGGACACCTTTAACTTAGTCCATTCTCTCAGCCAAAGCCTGAAGGAAAACTCTAATATCTAATTGTCTGTGAAAAAATTACCAACTAGCCACTTTGCAGGCAGTAGGAAAAAAGAAAGATTGGGTATCTTTCCTTCTGTCCTGGGATCAGGAATGCTATTTAACAATGATCAGGTAAAGAGGAGAGGCTGTGCCTAAGGTCTGAGAAAAGGCTGGCCTTACTCTGTTCAAGCAGCCAGGTGAGCAGCAGCAGTCTAGAAAACCCCAAACAGATCACCTCTGTGAGTTCAAGGAAGGGCGGAGATGCTTGCTGCCTTCCTAACTCTTGGCAAAAACTGACATAGTACTGTGAATTGGGGCCCCAGGGACTTCAAGTTTGAGTTTGAATGGTCAGGCCCTGGAAAAGGGGAGGGCAAAAATGAGCTGTTCTTCCCCCTGTAGCCTTAGGCCAACACAAACTGCAAATTGGTAAGCAGCACCTTAATGCCTCTGGTGACAGTTACAGCTGAAGTGGCAGGGTCAAGCTTGTAGGTGTTGGCATCCCCCTTTTTATATGGGTCCCGAAAAACATAGATGCTCCCATTACAGCTGGCAATCTTCCAGAGGGATGGGGCAGAGCTCCAGGCCTCAGGAAGGCAAAGCCGGGTAAAGCTGTCTAGCAGGGGATTGTAGCACACCAGGGAGTCCCCTTCAGCCACAATGAATACCAGATCCTTATGCACAGCTGCATGCATGCGGCCTGCGAAAGGCAACACATAGGGCTTCATATGGCATTTGTCTGTCTCTGTGTCAAAGCACTGAATGAGGCAGGAAGGTTTGGTAAAGAAGTCCAGATCATTCTCCTCCCCGCCTAATAAGTAGATGATCCCGTTGAGGTTGGCACCAGCTGCCCCTGACACAGCCACCTCTAGCTGGGTTGTCTCTGTCCAGATGTTATCACCTACCCGATAATAGATAACTGCATTGGAGAGGGTATCCTGCAGTGTCTTGCCACCCAGTGAATATATGGCATCTTTTCCGGGCACAGAGACCAAGGTATGCTGGAGCCGGTCCCGGGGCAAAGGTGCACACCATTCCCAGTCCACAGTGGCATTGTTGCACTTCCACATGCGCCGTGGGATGGACCCTCCCACCACGTACAAGTCTCCACCGTGCTTACAGGCTGCAGTGATCTGGTGGCACAAGCTGTTTTGGCCACTTACACTGATGGAGTCATCCTCCGCACAGTGTAAGGACACAGCCAATGAGTGGGTACGAGATGACTCTTTTCCGATCAAGTAAATGTGCACGTTCTCTCCAATTTCCTATCAGCAAAATTAATATTATAGGCATCAGCTAATAACCATAATGTTGCTCATGTAATTGTAGATTAATGATACAAAAAAAAAAAATATATATATATATATAGGCATCAGGTCTAGGCTAAGGCTCAGCTGAGATGCATAACCTTAAGGTCTTGGGCCACACACTTGTATCTTGCTCTGACCTCCTCCCCTCTAGTTACTGTGTGTCATCCTGACTCCTCCAATCACTTTCTTCCAGGCATTTTATGCTGGGCAGAGAATCTGTGGCACTCATTTCCAGCTTTTGAAAAACTATCATGAGTTTGTGCTTCAGACAAAGGGTGCTCAGATTGGTAATGCTATAATGAAAATGGTTTTCTTAAGCTTTGCTGCTCAGAGGTTAGTGGCTTCTGAGCTCACAGGTATATCCTCCTCTCTAGCTCTTATCAACTTAAAGCCAGAGACAACTTATTCACCAGCTATCCAAGAGGCCAGACCAGGCCAGATGGCTGGAATGCATAGATCTTATAGTGTCCCAACCCTAGAAAAGTAAGTCTTACCTTCAAGCTACTCCTGAGTGACTCTGCAAAAGCCTCTCTTTCTTCTTTATTGAAATTGATCCAGGCTTCTATTGCCTCTGTTGGATTCTGGGAACATGGAACTCCATCTGTGAGTGCCAGTGGAAAGGCATGGTCATTGATAATCTAACAATCCAAAAGGGAAATTTAGAGCCAGCGGCTTTAAACATGTGAACCACTTTGTTAGACTACCACCAAGTATGTATATGTATATGAAAAATTAATCTAAAATTGCCTTGTTTGTTTTAATCAAACTGAATGGCTTGATAAGCTCCCATCTGCCATAGAAGCAATCTAATAGGCTGCAGAGCTTACACCTGAAAATATGGCAGGGTTAGGATTATTATCTAAAGTTGGTTGATTACTTAAAAGTTTCTTCTGTAGATACCTTGACTCACCATCAGTTTCCGTACGAACTAGTCTCATAGGTACATACATGCAAAGCACAGAATGGATGAGAACACTTGTGCACAGGAGGGATTGGAATATAAATACAAATGGTTCCCCACAACCTTTTGTAGGTAAGTGGGTTTTTTAATTTAATACTTTTATCTATTAAAAAGTGCTGCTTTTTTTTTTTCCTGGCTTCTTCCTCTATAAAGAAGTTTCTGACTGCAGCTGCACTGAATCTCAGCTCAATCTCTCTCAAAAGTATCTAAATCCCTACCAGGAATAACAATGTAAACCAACACCAAGAAGCCCGAGGGTTCCTTTCTTCTGAACTACAACAGCCACTGCACATTATACCCAAGTAGCTGGGTATGATGTACCTCCTCCCTCAACTTACCGGCAATGATATCAGTGAGTAGATGGTGGGGCAAGTGGAGAAATTCTTCTGTGCTCTGCAGCTGGGCCAGGCGGGCCTTAGCACAGTGCTTGGCAGCAGTGTAGAGCTCAGGATCACTGTGCCGGTCGGCCAGCCACATTACCTGAAGGCAATTCCCCATCTGTACAGTGCGGGCCAAAAACCTAGAACATTCCTCAAAGAGAGATGTCAGCTGATACATGTCTGACACCTCATAAATTTCCTGTAGCTCCTCAGATCGAAGTTTTACAGTCCCGTGGTATATATAATGAACCATAAGCTGGAAAACAGACTCACTGATATCCTGCAGCACAATCACCCGGTTGTGGGCCTCCTTCAGATTAGATGTGAACATGGACCGGAAGAAGCAGCTCTGAGCTGAGAGGACAAGCCGGTGGAGCTGAAACTCCCGGCCTTCCACTGAAATGGTGACATCAGCAAAGAGCTCTTCCTCCAGACAGAGTTTCATGATGCCCTGAGCCACACGACCCGAGTGTGACCGGTCTTTGAAAGTGTAGTTCACAAAGTAGTTCTCATCCATGGATACTCCAGGCTCCTCTGGTGATTCCATGGTAGCCAACTTCTTTCTCTGCCAGCTGTCTGCAAAGCAACACCACCCTTAATAACTTTCTTGGATCCACAGTCAGTCTATGAACCCAACAGTCCAATTCACGGTAAAAAGAAGGCAAAAGTGATAGCAAAGTGGGCCCAGACTGGCCTTAAGTCCTGGCCCTGTTAATGACATTTCTGATGCCCTCCTTCAACCAAAGGTGGGTTCATTCTTGCAGTGGCACCCCATCTCTAATGATATCAATAAAATTTACTGCTCTGGGCATTTCCCTGAGAAAACGGAATATTCCTCTCTATAATGTAACAAAAGGCTTGGGATTTAGGTTAACACAGGAAAGCAAGGGGCTGGAGGAAGCCTATGATCTTAAGAGCCTGGCAAAAAAGCCTTACTAACAAAATAATTGTTGGGCATAAAACTTGAGAATTGGGGCAGCAGAACCCGACATAGAAGAGCCCTACATCCTTGTGGCCCAGGTCTCTCTTCCAGGGAGTCCAGACCTTCCAAAATGTGNGTCCCTAGGGCACACGTGCGAAGCCTCTCAGCCCGGGGAGCCCGCGCCGGCCGCTTAGCCTTCGCGGGAGGACGCAGACCAGTTGCAGCCCCCGTCCTCGGCGACTCCTGGCTGTCCTGGCGGCCACGGGTCGCGAGCCCAGGGGTGGCCGAGCCGCCGCGGCGCTGCGGCGGGTGGGCGGAATGGCGGCCGGCTCAGTGCTGGAGGCCGGCCTGGCCCGGCTGCTCTTCTACCCGACGCTGTTATACACGCTATTCCGAGGCAAGATGCCAGGCCGGGCGCGCCGCGAGTGGTACCACCGCATCGACCACGTCGTGCTGCTGGGCGCGCTGCCGCTGCGGAGCATAACGCGCCGGGTGAGCCAGACCGGGAGGCCGCACCTGGGAGTCAGCGAGGGCCGCCCGGATCTCGGCGGCCCCTCTGAGCACCCTCTTTGCCTCGGCAGTTGGTTCAGGACGAGAACGTGCGTGGGGTGATCACCATGAACGAAGAGTATGAGACGAGGTTCCTGTGCAACTCCTCAAAGGTGAGGGGCCGGGGCCCGTGAGTGGGAGCCGGGTCGGGGGCGACCGGCAGCCTGGATCCCCGCCCCGGGACTGGGAGAACCTGAAGAGGTCGGGAGAGGCGGTGCCGCGGGGGCCGTGCCCGGGACACGGGTGTCTCCCAGGCTTTTTTGCCTCCTTGGGAGGAGGGTCTAGACCTGTAAGCTTAAATGGCTGCTGCTGGAGGTAGAAACTAATTGTGAAATAGAAACTGATGTGAAAGGCATTTAAAAAGAGATTTGACACAGCCTCACCACTCCTTTGTACACAAATGTATTCTTAGTTTAGATAACTCAAATCAGTAACCAGAATAGAAAGGCAACTTTTCTGTGGCTTGCTGATTTCATTCATAGACCTCCTACTGAGCACAAAATACGGATCAGGCATTCAAGATGAAGGCTGTATAAAATCTTTATGACGAAAAGTACACCCTCCATGCCTCCCTCATCCCCTGGGAAGTTTATCATAAAACCACCAGTAAAAAACTGCATAGGGTTCACTTGGCTCTGATTTGAGGAAACTTTTATTCATATGTTAGAGACATAGTGGAACTCCAAAGTCCAGTTATGAAGTTCAGGCCTAAAACATAATTTTCATTAAATGTGAATGCCTGTCTGTGGAACTCTCCATAATGGTCATTAGATGTTGCCCTACCTTTATAGTGTTTGACATCCATCAGCACTACGCTATTATTTTTCTTGTTTACTGTACTGATAAAACCTAATGAAAATCCTATTATTTCAGCCCATGGATTTTTTGAAACCTTGAAAATATTTGTGACTCACACTTAAAATATATTAGTGATGACGTATATTTTTAAGAAATGGATAACAGTTCCTGAGATTTCCCAAAGCACTTTGACACAAAGTTCATGAGTTATTAGCCAAAATAGTAAGTGTTCCTTAGTGTGGTCAGTCCTGTGACATAAGAGGAGTCACAAAAAAGTGCTTGGTCTCTGTAAGTGTAAGGACTGACATTTGTAGGATGTGGCTATATTATTGCACTAGCCCTTGGAGAAATCTCCAAGGCAGTGGTTCTCTTAATTTAAGATGCCTAAGTGTTATCTGGCAGCCTTCTTAAAATACCAGATTCCTAAATACAATCCCCAGAGATTCTGAGTCAGGAGCTTAAAGGTGGGTCTGCGGAATATAGCAGCTCCCTGGGTATTTCTGGTATAATTTATGGCTAAGACACATGCTGTATAATTCTGCTGTTTTTGTTAATTTCATGAACAGTATAAAATATTGACCTTCATTCAGAGTCATAAAGTCTCTGGTTCCAGCTAAAGAGATTAATAACAAGAATAGCTGGAGCCTATTTGAAGTTTTAAAGCAAGAAAAAAATATAAATTGCCTGGTTTGCCAGAGGCCTTATTTCACCTATTTCTTCTTTTCTTTGTTTTGGTAATACTGCACTAGCAAAAGTAGGTATATTGTTTTAATTTTACTAACCTATTTTTTACCACACACCCTAAAAAAAGTGGTAAGAATAGAGGAGACTTAATGGACAGAGAAATAGAAAGCTCTTGCAAAATATAGTGGCCTAACACTGCAGCTGGATCACTGCACAGGTGCCAAAATTATGCAAAACCATAGATAATTACACAACTTTTGTAGCTGAATTTTATACAGCTAATATTTTGCAGCGAAATATTCAAATACCCAGAGTACTTTAAGAACACTTTATATCTTAGACATAATTCTAACTCAGAAGCACAGCTGTTTGATGAAAGACCAACCATGTAGATCAGCCATTTTAAAGACATTTTTGTAAGAAGTTTATTGTTTAGAAAACAGTGAACAGTATATTCACATTGTAGTAAATCCTTATTGATTTGTTGCCTCTTGGGTTGCCATGCGTATACCACTCACATCAGACTTTTTTCATTCTCTTTTTTATGCTGGTGGATCTGGTTCCAGGAGTGGAAGAAAGTAGGAGTTGAGCAGCTGCGGCTCAGCACGGTTGACATGACTGGAATCCCAACCTTGGCTGATATCCAGAAGGGCGTCCAGTTTGCTCTCAAGTACCAGTCCCTGGGCCAGTGTGTCTATGTGCATTGTAAGGCTGGGCGCTCCAGAAGTGCCACTATGGTGGCAGCATATCTGATTCAGGTAGGAAAGGTCTTTCTGGACTGGCCCCATTACAGCAGATTTCCAGAACTCCAGTAGTATGGTCTGTTTGGTACTTTGCTGGAAGGAGCCATGCCCTCAGCTTGAGGCTTTTGGAAGGTGGAAAGCACCTGAGCTTTGCAGATAGGTTTACCTCTGGCATTGCCACCTGCCAGCTGTGTGACCTCAGGCAAACGTGACTTCCCCTCTCTAATGTACAGTTTCCTCAATCTAAACGTGTTATGAAGCTTGAATGAGAAAGTATTCCAAGCACTAACCTACAGCAGGCACTCAAAAACTGGAGGTGCAAAGGATGTTAGCACCAGCAGAAAGCTAAAAACACTTGTTCTAAATAGCATGTCAGGAAATCTAGTACTGTAAATAATAGTACCGATCACTTGCAGCTCTGTTGTACTCAAATTTCAAGTATTTCAGGGTAAAGTTCTGGACATTAGTTTCTAAAAACAATCCAACAGAATTTTGCCTGTTATGATCAGCAGGGGGGATGCTTTTAATATTTAGAAGCAAATACTCTCTAGTCCATTCTGCTACATGCCCCCAGCTTGACTCATTTTTGTTACTCATCTGGCTGGCCCCTGCAGAGCATTTACAGAGTCATGGAGTTTAAAGAACAAGGAAATGTAAAGATAACTAGCCTGCCTTTGTGTGATGAACTGGTGAGTATATGACTTTTAACAGTACCAAAGCTTTGGTCATTAGGATGTTGCTGGTAACAGGGCCTCAGGAGGCTATTTTAGGCCAAGTGAAAATTGACCCAGCAGGCTAGAAACCTGTGTTTTCTTGGTTCTGTTGAATTCTAAACCAGTAAGTATCCTTAGAACACAAAGATAACCCTCCTCGTTAAATTTAAGAAGTGCTGTTTTTCTAGCTGTGGTGACAAGTTGCATAAAAATATCTACTGTATACTCTTTCCAGGAAACTTGTAACCAACAGCCTAGCTCAGGGAGAACATCTAGTAGGCCTAGGCAGGCAGAATTTAGGATCTCAGCTTCACTTACTCAGTCTTTTTCCAGGGTTTAGTAAAGCAAGAATTAGATAGAAATACTGACATCCCCAACCCTGTTGCATAGTATTGCAGGATGGGTTGACTGAGGGGGTTGAAGTGCTTACTTATTTATAATATATGGAACATGGTTTTTATTTACCCCCCGACTCCATCAAGTTTTTAAAAATGAGAATCTGGGAGCCTTTTAGCATCTGTTATTAGGTTAAGGCCACTGCAACACTTTCTCTGATTTCCCAATCCTGTACTTCAGGTGTACAATTGGAGTCCAGAGGAGGCTGTAAGTGCCATCACCAAGATCCGCTCACATGTCCACATCAGACCTGAACAATTTAAAGTTCTCAAAGAATTCCACAAAATCACTGCAGTGACAGCAAAGAAGTCTTTTCATACGTCATAGACATGAAGTACTTGGATTTGAAAGAGCTCAAGACAGCCTTGCTTGCTACAGAATGAAAAAGTTTAACAGGAACAAAATGGGACTTAAGCCCAGGCTTGACATAACAGAAATGTTGCTAAGTAGTAGATAATTTTACTCCTTGTCTTGTTTCATTTTCCTAAATAACACTGTTGTATGCCTAGAAAGACTGAGTGTGGCTTCTATTCATAGGGTCATGGGATAGGGATGGCAAGTGTCTTATTTTCTTGAATAGGGTCAAAGAAATTGTGCCCTAGCAATGTGCCTAGTGATATTTAGTATTGTAACTCAAAGATATTTAATAATAGGAAAAGAGAAATACTCAGCTCTTCTTTGCCACTATCAGAATCACAATTCGCTGGCCCCATGGGGCTCTCCTCCTTTTTTGGAGCAGTTATCCTGTTTGTAGGAAAGTATGGGATTCAATCAGTATTGCAGTTGATTTATTAGAAACATGTGGATATGTAATTAGTTCCCATTAGGAAGTGACTCCTTCAGAATTCAAAACAGACACACATCTCTCTTAAAAAACTTTATTTGTATGAACAGTTCCTAGCTCTTGACTTAGCTTGGCACTTTTAAAAGAGGAGAGACCTGTATGTTTGAGTTTGAAAAAAGTTTCTGCTATCAGAAATAACCCTTTTAACTTCTGGTTAACCCCTTGAAGTCAGCCAAAAATAAAACCAAACTATACATTTCCTGACAGATGAGAAAACAATGGATGGAATGTCTTGAATTCTAGAGTTGACTCTTGCTGGTGAAGGACACCTTTAACTTAGTCCATTCTCTCAGCCAAAGCCTGAAGGAAAACTCTAATATCTAATTGTCTGTGAAAAAATTACCAACTAGCCACTTTGCAGGCAGTAGGAAAAAAGAAAGATTGGGTATCTTTCCTTCTGTCCTGGGATCAGGAATGCTATTTAACAATGATCAGGTAAAGAGGAGAGGCTGTGCCTAAGGTCTGAGAAAAGGCTGGCCTTACTCTGTTCAAGCAGCCAGGTGAGCAGCAGCAGTCTAGAAAACCCCAAACAGATCACCTCTGTGAGTTCAAGGAAGGGCGGAGATGCTTGCTGCCTTCCTAACTCTTGGCAAAAACTGACATAGTACTGTGAATTGGGGCCCCAGGGACTTCAAGTTTGAGTTTGAATGGTCAGGCCCTGGAAAAGGGGAGGGCAAAAATGAGCTGTTCTTCCCCCTGTAGCCTTAGGCCAACACAAACTGCAAATTGGTAAGCAGCACCTTAATGCCTCTGGTGACAGTTACAGCTGAAGTGGCAGGGTCAAGCTTGTAGGTGTTGGCATCCCCCTTTTTATATGGGTCCCGAAAAACATAGATGCTCCCATTACAGCTGGCAATCTTCCAGAGGGATGGGGCAGAGCTCCAGGCCTCAGGAAGGCAAAGCCGGGTAAAGCTGTCTAGCAGGGGATTGTAGCACACCAGGGAGTCCCCTTCAGCCACAATGAATACCAGATCCTTATGCACAGCTGCATGCATGCGGCCTGCGAAAGGCAACACATAGGGCTTCATATGGCATTTGTCTGTCTCTGTGTCAAAGCACTGAATGAGGCAGGAAGGTTTGGTAAAGAAGTCCAGATCATTCTCCTCCCCGCCTAATAAGTAGATGATCCCGTTGAGGTTGGCACCAGCTGCCCCTGACACAGCCACCTCTAGCTGGGTTGTCTCTGTCCAGATGTTATCACCTACCCGATAATAGATAACTGCATTGGAGAGGGTATCCTGCAGTGTCTTGCCACCCAGTGAATATATGGCATCTTTTCCGGGCACAGAGACCAAGGTATGCTGGAGCCGGTCCCGGGGCAAAGGTGCACACCATTCCCAGTCCACAGTGGCATTGTTGCACTTCCACATGCGCCGTGGGATGGACCCTCCCACCACGTACAAGTCTCCACCGTGCTTACAGGCTGCAGTGATCTGGTGGCACAAGCTGTTTTGGCCACTTACACTGATGGAGTCATCCTCCGCACAGTGTAAGGACACAGCCAATGAGTGGGTACGAGATGACTCTTTTCCGATCAAGTAAATGTGCACGTTCTCTCCAATTTCCTATCAGCAAAATTAATATTATAGGCATCAGCTAATAACCATAATGTTGCTCATGTAATTGTAGATTAATGATACAAAAAAAAAAAATATATATATATATATAGGCATCAGGTCTAGGCTAAGGCTCAGCTGAGATGCATAACCTTAAGGTCTTGGGCCACACACTTGTATCTTGCTCTGACCTCCTCCCCTCTAGTTACTGTGTGTCATCCTGACTCCTCCAATCACTTTCTTCCAGGCATTTTATGCTGGGCAGAGAATCTGTGGCACTCATTTCCAGCTTTTGAAAAACTATCATGAGTTTGTGCTTCAGACAAAGGGTGCTCAGATTGGTAATGCTATAATGAAAATGGTTTTCTTAAGCTTTGCTGCTCAGAGGTTAGTGGCTTCTGAGCTCACAGGTATATCCTCCTCTCTAGCTCTTATCAACTTAAAGCCAGAGACAACTTATTCACCAGCTATCCAAGAGGCCAGACCAGGCCAGATGGCTGGAATGCATAGATCTTATAGTGTCCCAACCCTAGAAAAGTAAGTCTTACCTTCAAGCTACTCCTGAGTGACTCTGCAAAAGCCTCTCTTTCTTCTTTATTGAAATTGATCCAGGCTTCTATTGCCTCTGTTGGATTCTGGGAACATGGAACTCCATCTGTGAGTGCCAGTGGAAAGGCATGGTCATTGATAATCTAACAATCCAAAAGGGAAATTTAGAGCCAGCGGCTTTAAACATGTGAACCACTTTGTTAGACTACCACCAAGTATGTATATGTATATGAAAAATTAATCTAAAATTGCCTTGTTTGTTTTAATCAAACTGAATGGCTTGATAAGCTCCCATCTGCCATAGAAGCAATCTAATAGGCTGCAGAGCTTACACCTGAAAATATGGCAGGGTTAGGATTATTATCTAAAGTTGGTTGATTACTTAAAAGTTTCTTCTGTAGATACCTTGACTCACCATCAGTTTCCGTACGAACTAGTCTCATAGGTACATACATGCAAAGCACAGAATGGATGAGAACACTTGTGCACAGGAGGGATTGGAATATAAATACAAATGGTTCCCCACAACCTTTTGTAGGTAAGTGGGTTTTTTAATTTAATACTTTTATCTATTAAAAAGTGCTGCTTTTTTTTTTTCCTGGCTTCTTCCTCTATAAAGAAGTTTCTGACTGCAGCTGCACTGAATCTCAGCTCAATCTCTCTCAAAAGTATCTAAATCCCTACCAGGAATAACAATGTAAACCAACACCAAGAAGCCCGAGGGTTCCTTTCTTCTGAACTACAACAGCCACTGCACATTATACCCAAGTAGCTGGGTATGATGTACCTCCTCCCTCAACTTACCGGCAATGATATCAGTGAGTAGATGGTGGGGCAAGTGGAGAAATTCTTCTGTGCTCTGCAGCTGGGCCAGGCGGGCCTTAGCACAGTGCTTGGCAGCAGTGTAGAGCTCAGGATCACTGTGCCGGTCGGCCAGCCACATTACCTGAAGGCAATTCCCCATCTGTACAGTGCGGGCCAAAAACCTAGAACATTCCTCAAAGAGAGATGTCAGCTGATACATGTCTGACACCTCATAAATTTCCTGTAGCTCCTCAGATCGAAGTTTTACAGTCCCGTGGTATATATAATGAACCATAAGCTGGAAAACAGACTCACTGATATCCTGCAGCACAATCACCCGGTTGTGGGCCTCCTTCAGATTAGATGTGAACATGGACCGGAAGAAGCAGCTCTGAGCTGAGAGGACAAGCCGGTGGAGCTGAAACTCCCGGCCTTCCACTGAAATGGTGACATCAGCAAAGAGCTCTTCCTCCAGACAGAGTTTCATGATGCCCTGAGCCACACGACCCGAGTGTGACCGGTCTTTGAAAGTGTAGTTCACAAAGTAGTTCTCATCCATGGATACTCCAGGCTCCTCTGGTGATTCCATGGTAGCCAACTTCTTTCTCTGCCAGCTGTCTGCAAAGCAACACCACCCTTAATAACTTTCTTGGATCCACAGTCAGTCTATGAACCCAACAGTCCAATTCACGGTAAAAAGAAGGCAAAAGTGATAGCAAAGTGGGCCCAGACTGGCCTTAAGTCCTGGCCCTGTTAATGACATTTCTGATGCCCTCCTTCAACCAAAGGTGGGTTCATTCTTGCAGTGGCACCCCATCTCTAATGATATCAATAAAATTTACTGCTCTGGGCATTTCCCTGAGAAAACGGAATATTCCTCTCTATAATGTAACAAAAGGCTTGGGATTTAGGTTAACACAGGAAAGCAAGGGGCTGGAGGAAGCCTATGATCTTAAGAGCCTGGCAAAAAAGCCTTACTAACAAAATAATTGTTGGGCATAAAACTTGAGAATTGGGGCAGCAGAACCCGACATAGAAGAGCCCTACATCCTTGTGGCCCAGGTCTCTCTTCCAGGGAGTCCAGACCTTCCAAAATGTGGCTTGGCCTGGGACATTTGTCAGCTTCACACTTGTTCTCTTCTGAGCTTCTCCCTAGCTCTTCCCTTCTCGCCCTAATGATTCCACAAGGCTCCGTCCCAGAACTCGAGACTAAACCTAGCCATACCCAGCACGGGGTACAGAAGGCCCATCGCTAAGTGCAGTGTTTCCGCTCTACCTTGCGTCTCCAGGGAAACAGTCTCTCGTCCCCCCCGCCCCTCTCCCAAGCCTGCCACGCCAAACCCTCCAGCCCTCGTCAAAAGCTTAGCTCAGATAGAGGCGGAGGGGTGTGGAATGTGAAACCCAGAACCCCCGCCTCTTACCCTCCGCTCGCCCGTCTGGTTCTTTAGCGTCCTCGCCTTCACTCCAGCTTCTTTCACACCAAGCTAGGCCCCGTTCACCTCACAGTTTCCCATCTGCCCGTTTTGGTTTCTCACGGGCCTTACATCCTTTCATTCCGAAGCCCGGAAGAAGATGAGATGCACACTTCCGCTTCCGGTCCGTGCCCTTGGGGCTCTGTGTCCTGTAACTACAGCCTCAGGTGCCTGGTCTGCCTCCAGGGATTATGGCGGCGGCGACGAGGAGCTGGTGGAGGGGGCTCGTGGAGTCCGTGGCACTGGGCAGAGGTGAGCAGGGGGCAGCTGACAGGCCCCGGGCACGAAAGGCGGTGCACCCAGCGCAGGTAGCCCATCAGGCCTCACCCGGCGCTTCACTGTCTTTTTAGCTTTCCGTCCAGTGGCCGGGCTGCCCTCTGTGCTGTCGCTGCCAGTGAGGAGGAAGAGTGCTGCGGTCGACACGCGCCGTGAGTATGTGCGAGTCGACCCCTTTCGGAACTACAGGAGGAGACCCATTCATTCCCTTCACCGGATGTTTGCCCTTGCTCTGGGATGCCCTTCCTCCTGGCAAATCTGCTTATCCCTGGAGACCTTAACTGCAGCGATATTCACTCCACAGGCAGAAAATGGCACTCCCTTAGGCCTCTCTGTTATGGCCCTGGTTGCTCCTTGATCTGTTGCCAAGATTCCCTTTTTCTCTGATTAAACTGAGAAGTTCTCTGATTAAACTTTTGGGCCTCAAAGCCTTTCGATAATAATAGTAGCTAACATTGAGTGCTTTTGTGCTAGGCACGTTAGTAAACAATTTAGTGAATGATCTTATTTAGTCCTCAACAATTTTATAAGGTAGATAGTATTATGCTTTTCCTACTATATAGACCAGGAAACAGTCCAGAGACATAATTGTCCAGGGTAGCAGCACTTGTGAATGACAATGGGCAAGCCTGCTGCCAAAGGCAGATTTAACCATTACTTTTTAGCCTGTAATGCGTGGGTGCTCAGTGATTTAGGGTTGTAAGAATGAGAGTATGGAGATAGTTACATTCAACATAAGCCATCTGGGAGTCAGGAGACCTGGCATTTCCCCCTTTTTGGGCCTCAGTTTCTTGATCAATTCAAAACAACAAAAAATATTTTAACTAGGTAATCAGTGAGGGCTCGTCAGCTCTGAAGTTCTTAGCTTGAGAACCTGCTGCAAGCCAGGTGCTAAAGAGATACAGAGAAGCAAAAGTTCTCATTCCTACCTTTAAAGAGCTCCCAGTCTGGTAAGAGAGCTGAGGTCCATGCTGCTTTTGCAGAGTGCAGGCATTGTGAAGAAAGAACCCTGGAGTAGTTTTGAGAAGAGGCAAATATCTCAGCTGCAGTAATAATGAGAACCTTTATGGGTTGTGTAGGTGGCATTTTCTCTGTTTTCATCACTTCATGTTCCCTGGAAGAAGAACCCTCCACCCTCACCTTTCTCAAGGTTCTGCCGGGAGCCCTGCTGGGAGACAACACCCCTACAAGCCCAAGAGGCACAGGGGTGGTTGCTGCCCTCTCCATTCCTTTGTTAAAGATGCTTTCTCCTTCCAGGCACTGTCAGACCACGGAATGATGTGGTTCACAAGCAACTCTCAGCTTTTGGAGAGTATGTGGCTGAAATCATGCCCAAGTATGTCCAGCATGTTCAGGTAACATTCACTACTATTGTTTGGTTGAGGTCAAGAAAGAACCATGTTCTCAGAGCATGTAAGAGTAGCTCATCAAAATCACAGACTCTTCCATTCCAACTTGGGCTTCTTTCTCTGTCTCAAACCAGGAGACTCCAGTTCAAGTTATCTGATATCTCAGTAGCTCTTTGTTCCCTCTTCCATCCCTCTCCATGTATGCAGATGTCATGCTTCAGTGAGTTAGAGATCTGTATCCATCCTGATGGAGTCATTCCAGTGCTGACTTTCCTCAGGGATCACACCAATGCACAATTCAGATCCTTGGCTGACTTGACGGCAGTGGACATCCCTACCCGGCAGAACCGTTTTGAGGTCCGTCAGGACACTTGAGGTTTGGGGAGTAAACTAAAAACAGATCAGTTTTAGTGTAGCAGTTAACCAGGGGAACCGTAACCTCCTTAGTTTCAGTTTGGGTCAAGCAATATGACACAGGAGTTAAACTGGGCCCTCAGAATCAGTTTGAGTTTGAATCGAGTTTGAATCCTGGCTCTGCCATAAACAGGCTATGTGACTTCAAACACTTTGTTTAATCTTTCTGAGCTTTAGTTTTCTTATGTGTAAAATAAGTATGAAATTATACCTACCTCATATAGTGGTTGTGAGGATTAAATAAAATAGTACAGGTAGATTGCTGGCATTCATTATGGTAAGTCCCCAATATGTTTAGCTATTGATGTTTACTGATCACCTACTATTTGCCAGATCCTGGAATTGAGAGAGAAGTAACACCTAAGACCTGCCCTCCAGGAGTCCCCCACACTCCAGTAAGGGAGAAGGCATCACAAAGAGCTTACTGTAACAACATATAATATGAGGGATGTTAAAGAAATCCTGTAAGAATGCAGGAAAGGCACTCAGCCCTGTCTGGGTGACTTCTTTGAGGGGAGAATGTTGGTGCTGAATCTTAAGGGGTGACCAGGTAAACAGGAATTAGCCCGGTGAGGACTGGGGCTGTGATAGGGGGTTTGGAAGACATCCCAACAAAGGGAATAGCGTGAGCAGAGATAAGTGTGTTGATGTGCTGAGCTACAGCACTGCTTAGGCCTTTGGAAGCAGCTGTAAGTACAGGAGGATCTTGAGATTTTGAGCCTAAGGATAGAAAGTAGGTACCCTACCCACCCTGTATCCTCATCATTGATGCTCCCAGTTAGGAACTCCTGCCCCAGACTCCTCAGCCTGTGGCCGTATTGGTCCTTCAGCTCTTGCTGTTCTTTCTAGATTGTTTACAACCTGCTCTCTTTGCGTTTCAACTCCCGGATCCGTGTGAAGACCTATACAGATGAGCTGACGCCCATTGAGTCTGCTGTCTCTGTGCATAAGGCAGCCAACTGGTATGAGAGGGAGGTGAGTTACTGGACATGGTGGATCCTGCTTTTGGGCCAGAGTTGCAGAAGTGGTTGAAACTACTGGAGGTAGTGCAGCCACTCACCCGTTTGTCTGTGATGGACTGGTTGCCTGAGAGCCTCTTTTTTCTAGATTTGGGATATGTTTGGAGTCTTCTTTGCTAACCACCCTGACCTAAGGAGAATCCTGACAGACTATGGCTTTGAGGGACACCCTTTCCGGAAAGACTTCCCCCTGTCTGGCTATGTTGAGGTAGGAGCAGCCTTGGAACTGGGGCAGCAGCCTCAGGGAGGCACTGGCAGGGAACTTGGGGGATGCTGGCATGGCCAGAAATAATGTCTTTGTATTGTGATGGTTTACGAGCTCAGTCTCTGGATTCAAATCCTAGCTCCTTTTGTAATCTGGGGCAAGTTACTTAATTTCTCTGTGACAGTTCTCTCATCTGCAAAATGGGAACAATAATTGTACTTAACTAATAGATTTGTAGTGAACTAAATCATATATATTCTGAAGTCTGGTGTATTATAAATGTTTGGTTGATGTTAAGCCATTAACACTATGATCATTTTAATGACTGAGAAAGCCTCGAGGACACATTTAGTCTGTCCCCAAGATGTGAAAGTAGAGGATCATTTTATCCCGCCCTGGGTCTCTGAGAAAGCAGCTGACAGGGAAGACACTAAATGTTTACCCCTTAAAAATGACCAGAGATGGGAACAGTAACATGTGAATACAAGAACCTTATAAAGAATTTTGGTGCTTTACTTTACCTCCCATGTAATAAACAGGTGGTTTGTTAGCAGGAAAATGGTCTGTTGTATACATACACACATGTGATTTTTGTAGCCAAGTAATTTTTTAGAAATGTTGAGGTAGTGACAGCCTATGACTTCAGTATCTAAATGCTTCTGTTTTCTTAGTGTTTTGCATGGTCCCATTTCCTTCTCCACCAACTTCTAGTTAGAGCTGCTGCCCTCTCCTCCCTTTCACTTCTGCTCTCCCTTTTCTGGTTTGCCTCTGCACCTCAGTGCCTGTTTGTCCTTACCTTTTCCAGCTGATCCTCCAATAACGAGAAAAGCCATGCCAGGTTTACTGCCTTGCATTTTGGCAGGGATAATGCCAAGGTCATGTGGCCTGAACTTGAGTGCTTTCCAGTTTAGATTTACTCTTTTAGACCACTGACTTGCTCCCTAATCCAGGGCAGATGCTTACCATTACCTTATAAGAGTGTGTGGATGGGTGAGCCAAGTCAGTTCCGCAAAAGGAAGAGCTTAGAGTTCGTGATGTGGCGATGGTGGGCAGGGGTGATGGCAGGGTATGAGGAAGAGGCCGTTTGAGACCATGGTTTGGCTGTGACTTGATGGGTAACACAGATGTGGATGGAGACTTACTGAAGGGCTGGGACAGGAGGTAAAGACAGAGAAGTACAAAGGCTGGGAAGTTACCCATGGCCTTGGGGAAGGGCTTAGTGGCTCAGTGACTTCTGAACAAGGCTCTCCTTGGTGCTCAAGCCTGCCTTCCTTCTCTGCAGTTACGCTATGACGACGAAGTGAAACGGGTGGTAGCCGAGCCAGTGGAGTTGGCCCAAGAGTTCCGCAAGTTTGACCTGAACAGCCCATGGGAGGCTTTCCCTGCCTATTGTCAGCCCCCTGACAATCTCAGGCTTGAAGCTGGAGACAACAAACCTGAAACCAAGTAGCTCCAGGGAAGGCATGTGGATCCTAGAAAGCGCCTTATCTGTACTTGTCTGTGTAAATAAAATCCTACTTAGACTTACCATTTCTGTGTGCTTATCATGTATAGAAGTGAAGCTTTGACTTAGAGGGGAGATGCAGTCAGGGTTTTTTCCCTGATCCCTAGAAAGACTCTTCCAAGCTGGGACACTAGTGCAGTTGAAGACAAGTTGACTTGCAGGCCTGGATGTACTTCTGAGAAAGGGATTCTGGAGCTGAAATAGAAAATTCTCACAGTCCACAGGGCTCAGGATTGTGTGGGATGGCCCACTGGAGGAACTTCAACAACTGCTAGAGGAGGTCCCTTGTCAGATCAGACTGTGTGGTGGCAGCTGATGGTTCCAGGGGCTTGGGTGGAACCAGGGAAAGCTCCATCCATCCTTATCCCATCCAGATATCCACAGAGTTCCATGAGCCAGTAGGAAGAGCCACAGCTCATTTTTGAGTCTTGAACCTTGTATTCTTTTCCCTGTGACTTGACAGCTCATTACATTTGGGCTAAGGGAATCTTCCTGGACTCTGGCCTCAGCTGAGAATGTAAGCAAGCAAAGGAGGTCCCAGGGCTGGGGCAAAAGATAGAAGCTGCAAATCTGTCTTCTAGGGGCCAGACTCCCTGCCTGAGCCAGTCTGGGGTCTGTTCAGCTGGTAGCTGAGTGCCTGAGATGCAAGTGTTTGGCTCTGCCTGTCCATAAGGCCACCCAACAAGCCTGCCATGCAATTGGAGGACAGGGCTTTGCAGCTGATGCTCTTGGCTGCTGAGGGGCTCCCTGGAGGCTGGGCTGGGCTGGACTGGACTCGGCTGCAGGATGTTTTGGGGGTGAGGACAGATGGCAAGATAGTGTTGCTGCCTGGGCTCTTTGCTATCTCTTGGGAGGGCCAGGCTAGAGCTGTTTGCTACCAAACACCTTTTTTCTATTAACTAAAGCATCCCTCCCATCTGGGCAAGAACAGGCTGAGAGTCTGACAAGCAAGGAGCCAGGCTACTACTGCCAACAACCAGATTGCACATTTCCGTGGAATGGAAAGAGCCCCTGGGAAGCCAGAGCCAGCCCCTCCCTGTTTAGCATTGCAGACTGACATGCAAAGCAGGGAACACTAGAGCAGCCTGCAGTGGAAAGTTTGAGCTGTGGTGTGTGTCAGGCAGATGCAGGAGCAGAGAGCAGCTGGGGAGAAGACTGAGGACATGGTGAAGCATGGCTGGGACAATGCAGTTCCTGGCTTGGCTAGTGGTAGCCACTTGCCTTCTCTCTGGGGTGTCTACAACTCAGCACCATGCAGGTACTAGGGCTTAAGGGTAGGGTGGATAAGAGCCAAGGAAGGCTGCAGGCTGATAAAAGTTGGTTCTGTTTGAGCCTAGCAGGGCCTAGGAACTGTATACATGGTGAGTACCAGGCTGACCTGTGCAGTGGGGGTAGTGGTGTGGGCCCCACCTCCAGAACAAGAAAGGTTCAGGGGAAACGTAGGGAGATAGTCCTAGGTGCCCTCCATGCTAGCCCTGGAATTAGTCTTATCCTGGATAATGATCTTGACCTAGCAGGGCGTATCAGTCAAGGGCTAGGCAGCACCTGAGTATGGGATGAGAGAAACTGCAACAGACTCTGCCTTGCCTGGCCTCTGCATAGAGTCACTACTAAGGAACAAAGAAGTAGGTTTTTCTCAAAGGGGTCCTCCACCCTTGGGGAGGGTAACTGGCACTATCTTAGGTCACACTGTCTTTAGATGATTGTAGGGCGGGTAAGTAGGAAGTGCAGTGTTTTGTGACCTGTTGGTCTGGAGCTCTTTGCTAAGAGAACTGTATAAGTTCGAGGAGGAGCATGGATGTTTGCTGAGGTTTGGGACCGCCATTTTGGAACCAGACATGTCTAGGAGGGTGAATGTCGTGCATGTGTGTGTAGAGGGAGGGGGGCATGGGATAGCATTTCTGTTCTTTCATAGAAGAACCTCTAGGCATCCTTACCTGGCAACCAAGGGGCATTTCTGGGAGGCTGGGGTGTTCAGGGTGGAGCTTGACAGAGGCCTGACTACTCTCTGCTGCCTCAGGGCAGCCCATGGACAGTGCCGGTGTGGGAGGTGGCCTGCAGGAGCCAGAGGTCCTGGACATGATGTTTGAGGTCTTTCCTCCAGCCTGGGACATGCGGGTGGAAGTGTCCAGATGTCCCTAAGCTCAGGGTTGGGAAGGGGGTGTCTCAAGCTGGGCCTGCTGGGGAGGGAGGAACAAACCAGCATGGGTCTACTGCCTGCTTATGCCTGCCTGGCCCAGTCTTGTTTCTTGCCCTGCTACCCCCTCACCCTGCTCCCAAGCCCCAGCCCACCCCTTATAAGGCTCCCCTTGGCAGCTGCTCTGGGCTGGGCTGGAGCTGGATATCGTGAGGCAGCTGTACATCCAGGACGAGGAACTGATGTCCACACATCCAGGTCGCCGACTCAGGCTGCTCCTGCAGCACCATGTGCCCAGTGACTTGAAAGGTGCTAAGCAGCAGCTGCAGCAGTTCCAGAACCTGCGCAAAGGGCCTCCTCTTAGCCCTTTGGACTTTAAACATCTGCTCCTCACAGGCCTGTCCTGTGTCCACCAACTCCATGAGGCTAGTGAGGCTGAGGAGAGGGGCCACTGGGCCCAGGTCTTCATCCTCCTAGCACAGGAAACACTCTGGGACCTGTGCAAGGACTTCTGTCCCCAGGGCCAGCCCCTTCTCTGGGGCCCTGGGCCTCAGTCCTTGACCCCTTCCCCTAACCCTCTTGTTTCACATGCCAGCCTGCCACTGCCCCACCCCTCCCAGGCAGGGATTTCCTTATAGCACCTCGTTATTCCCACTGTATTCAGGTCTCTGGGCTTGGCTTGTACCCTGAACCTCAGCTTGCCCCTCGCCCATCTTCTTCCCTGGGTCTGACAGGCTAATAGTCTGGACTCCAAGGCCCAGACAGCAGTCACAGGGCGAAAGGCAGGACTTACAGGTATTGCACATGTGTGAGTTGGGGTCAAGCCTGAGAAGTGTGTTTAAGAGATGCTGAAAGGGAAACTGTCTCTAAGAAAGGCTGGGTCAGACCCTCCGACTCCTACCCTGGAAGTCTATGAGAAGTTCTGTAGAAGTTATGGAACCTTGTAAGTGCTCAGCACCCAGTCCTAATTTAGATAACTCCTTTAAGCCCAACCAATGCTCTGGGGTCCCTGAGTCTCCAAGTTCCCCATTTGGGCTAGGAGAATAGACCAGACATTTTTTATTGGACGTGTCGGTGTTGGCGTACACCAGGTAGCCACTGAAGGTGGCGCCAGTTGTAATGAAGGGAAGCAGGTGGAGGAATATTACCTTTTTGGGGTGAGAAATGTTTTCTGATCCATCTCAACAAGGCTCAGATGAACACCTCAGAGGGAGTGAGGCTGGGAGAGGGCTGACAGAGACAAGCTGAGGCTGGCTGGTTGTCTCTCTGAACCTGTGTAGCTCCTCCCATAAAACGTTCTGTTCTGGCCTCCTGGAACCTGTGTCTTTCTATGTCAGAGTAAATTTTTGAACACCTGCTTTGAGCGAATTACCCTCCCTATCCTGGGAGGGCAGGGGTTGGGGCAACCATATATCAACCTCTCATCCCATTCATATGCCCTGCTGGAAGAAGAAATGTACATTTTCCCTGACTCCCACACCTCCACAGAGGTCTTACTCCTTGTCACGAGAAGTTATCAACCAGGCCCTAAGAATGACGTCGTACGTTAATGGGAAGAAGAGGCATGAAGGCGGGGGTCCACAGAGATCAAGCGACTAGGGTTCAAATTCCCACCTCCGCACCCTCGCACCGTCTGACCAAATCCCGCCGTCTGCTGCAATAGTCAGTGCATTCCTGCACCACCCGACACAAAAGTGTCGCAGTCAACATAGCACAGGACTCTGGGTAGACAGGAGCCGGCGCAGGCCCACTTTATTGGCAGAGTCCAGCCTTGCCATCAAGCTCGCGTGGGGGTGCGTTCGCAGCCCAGGGTCTAGCCAATTCGGCATGCACGCCCCCGGGCTCCTCTCCCTGTTGAGGCTCAGAGCTCCGGAGGCCCGAGGCCCGGCAGGACGGCGGGGACGAGGTCGGGGTACACCAAGAAGCCGGAGAAGGTGATGTACTTGCCGTGGTTGCTGTAGGCGCCGTAGCCATCATGGTCGTGGCTGAGCAGCCAAATGGCGTCGCCGCGCCTCAGCGCCAGCATCACGCTCTGGCTCTGCATCTCGCGGCGCCGCGATGTGGCGTTGTCGTAAATCATGGCCTGCACTTCGTCCCGGTTCTTCATCAGCTTCACCGACAGCGTCTTGCGCGGCAGCTTGCCCAGCGTGAAGGAGAAGAAGTAGGCGCCCGGCAGGCGGCAGCGGAACACCCCGGCCGCAGCGTCGAAGTCGCCTCCGATGTTGACAAGCTCAATGTCGAAAGAGAGCGGCCGGTGTCGTGGCCCCGGGCCCGCGTCTGAACCCACCAAGCTGCGCGTGCGCGCTGCGGAGAAGGCCGAGCGCGGCTCCGGGGACCCGGGCGGCCCGCGCGCAGGCGCGTCGGCGTCGGCGTACACCAGGTAGCCGCTGAAGGTGGCGCCAGGAGCGCCAAGCGCGTACCGCGGGGCGCCGGGCAGCCGCAGCCACACCGTGTCACCGTAGTCGAGCTGCAGCATGGCGCTCTGACTGGCTGCGCGCTGCGCACCCGGCCGCCGCTGCTCATCGAAGGCCAGCGCCTGCACCTCGTCGCGGTTGCGCACCAACATCACCGACAGGCTCTTATGCGGGGCCTTAGCAGCGGTGAGGGAAAAGAAATAGGTGCCTGGCACGCGGCAGCGGAACCGGCCCGTGGCCGCATCGAAATCTCCCCCGATGTTCACATACACTTTGTCGAAGGTCACCGCCATCTCTGACGTGCCCTCCAGCGGACTGGTGCGCGCAGCCGAGAAGGCCGATCGCAGCTCCACTGAGCCTGGCACTGGGCCCAGTGCCCAACTGGCAGCCGGGCCCAGCAGGCCCACCAGGAGCAGCAACATGGTACCTGGGATAGGAGACAGAGTGGAAGAGAAGAGGGTTGGGCAGGGGTCACCTCCATGTGCCCAGGGCTCCTAGACTGTGAGATGGCTTCCCTCCCCAGCTCTGCCCTGAACCCACAACTAGGGCTCAGTCTCCTACACACTTGGACTAGGTCAGTGGTTCTCAAACTTTAGTGGGTCTCAGTGTCACCTGGAGGAATTGTTGAAACACACATCGTTGGGCCCTACCCCCACAGTTTCCATTCAGTAAGTCTAGGATAAGCCCTGAGAATTTGCATTTCTCATGAGTTCCCGGGGAATGCAGATGCTGCTAGTCCAGGGACCACACTGGGAATCATTAGATTAAGCCAGTGATTACTCCCTACCCCAACCTTTTTAATTTTCTCCTGTGAGCACAGAATCCTCTTTTCAAGTTTTCACACATACATACTACAGATACAGTCAGAAATGCTCTGGTTGAAAAGGCCTATAAACCTATCTGCTGGGCATACCCACTCCCCTACCCTTGGCCTCAATGGTCCCTGGGAATACAGGGGGTGGTCGGGGGTCTCCGATTTTCCCTCAGCCTCTGGTTTGCTGCATTTTCCTGTGGTTATTCTGTGGTCCCTGGTTGCCCCCTGATTCAGGCAGTGGGTCTCTGAACTGATGCCCTCTGTGATGACCACTGTTTCAACCCCCATCTGGGCAGGAAAGGAAACAGCAGATCCCTGACCCTTTTCTTGGTCTATGACCCACTCAAGGGGCAACTCCCACATAGGACCTCTGGACTCCCTAGGGGCCTTTCTTGCACTAAAGAGACCAGAAGAATTGGGCTTTGAGGTAGCTCCCTCCACCATGAAATAGGAGTAGGGGACACTGACTCCTTACTCTGGGCTTGGGGGCTGGTTTCCAAGGGAAGAGGACAGCCAGGGGCTGCTGGGCATAAAGAAGGAGAACAGTAATTCTAGCAGAGCTTTGGCAAGACTGAGGTCAGCAGCTTTGTTGCTCAGCAGTGTTGATTTCAGGAGGACTGACAACTAGATCTGGGCCAGGTCCTGGCACTACCACTTACATGCTAGGAAACCTTAGGTAAGTTCCTTAACTTCTCTGGGCATGGCTTCCTCTGTAAATAGGGAGGTGACCTGCCTCAGAAGCTTACATCAAAGATGCTTTGAGACAGCAGGTGTGAACACGGTTTGTGAATAGTGCAGCCCAAGTGTGCAGGTGCTTCCGTTCTTGGCCTTGAGAAAAACTATCTGATTAAGTTCTTGGCGTATATATGGGGTTAGGGACTCAGTAACTCCTAGCCCTGGGAGCTTGGCAAAGGCACAGTTTAACTCAAAGGAGTCACTGTCCGATGGTGGGATTCCATTATGCTTCCTAGCAGGGCATAGGCTTTGGGGTTTAAATACCCAAAGGCCCTAAAGGGAGACAAAGCAAGAAAGAAAATGAGCTGGCAACCAGCTAGGATGTGGGCTTCTATAGGAAATACCCTTCCACAGGAAATTTCTTTCTATAGGAAATACTCTAAATACACTTAGAGACACTAGGGGCCTGCTAGGAAGGGTTCCCAGGTGTAACTGTGCAGGTGTACCCTACACAAGGATGTTCACCTGAGGATAGGTGGGCACTGGAATCTAGCCCGCATTCTGTTTGCCCAACTGAGTAGAGTTGTTTTACCTGGTGAAGTGTGCCTTTTCTAATTCTCATAATAAAGACCTCAAGCCAGAATGTACCTCAGCTGAACATTTTTTCCCTCCAGAGGAGGTGCCTTTTCTAATTCCTACAAAGGTGCCCCTTGGGCTAGGCAACAAACATCCTTTGGTGAGGGAGGGAGGGAGGGAGGAGGGGGCCCATCTGCAATGGTGAAGGTTGCATCTCAGGAATATTTAGTGCGTCTCCTTTTACAAAGCTCTTTGTCCCACATTTGGTCCCACAGCAAACCTGCAAGACAGGTGGGCCCTTTCCCATTTCATAGATGAGAAAGCCTCGGCTTTCCCAACAAGGAAGAGCATTTTGGCCCAAGGTCATCCATGGAGCCCTGACGCAAGCCTTCAGCCTAGGTCTTTTAAGTCCAAATTCAGTGTGACTTCCTTTCCACCACCTTTTCCTTCCAGATAGGCATTTCCACCCAACCTGTCCTCTGCCTCAGTTTTCCTTTCTGCAAAACTAGGAGGGGAGACAAGTGGAATGAGTCTTGGGATCCAGGGTGAAGGAGAAAGAAAACAAAATCCAATAAAACCCACTAACAAACAAAACCCTACCACTTTGCCTTGCTGGAGTGTGGCAACATCTCAGCTCTTCCTGCCCCTGCTGCTCCCATAGCCTGTCCTGCCCCAGGAGCACCTAACAGCCCTATCCCCAGTAATCTCCCTACAGAGCCTGGTGCGCCTGCCAGTGCTGGAGAGTCCTCCTGCATGTCAGGTACCCAGCCTCCGTTTCAGCCACCACTGCCCATTTCCCAGATCCCTACCTCCCCATCCTTTCCTAAATCCCTGTCCCAGAGCAGGTCAGAGGTGGGAAGGTGTCAGGTGGGCATCAGAGCTCAGAGGAGATGGCTGTTCTTCACTCTGCCCAAGTGGGGCTCAAAATAATCATCTTCAAAGAGAAAAAACTGGGACAGAGAGAAATGGGCAGACCCAGCGTCTGGAAACCGAAAGAGAAGGTGCAACGATGTCAGGCTAAGGGGATCTCAGCCCCGCTTCCTCCAAGTCCCACTCCCTAAGTACCTCTTCCCTCAAGCTCCGCCAGGAGCCCCCTCCCACGCAGACCTACCTTGAAAGCCTCGCATGCTCCCAAGCAGGTAAGGCCCTTTTTTACAGAAGCCAATTAATCCTTTCTCATGGAAAAAAAATTCCCTCAGAAAGGGGTACCCCAGACCCTTTCTCCCCAAGATCTTTCATCATCTATCCCTTCGGAGTAAAAGCCCTTGAGCCTTTTTAATGAAAAAGCACCCAGGTCCTCCTTTTAGGGAAAAAGAACCCAATTCCCCCACACCTCCTCCCTCTTTCCCCCCGCTTTCCCCTGCCCCCGCTTCCGATAAAGGAGAAACCTTAGCTGCCGGTCTCTGAGCTGCCCTCACCTGGCTGGGGGCGGCGGTCGGAGCGGGTTCGCGCCCAGCCGGTGATTCAGCTGCGGGCTCCGGGGCTGCGCACCGCCCGCCCGCGCTGCGGCGGGGACCGGCCTGGCGGGAGTGGCGGGGGCTCGGGCTGCTCCTCCGGGTCCCGAGGCGGCGGCGGCGGGGCGCTGGGTCCCCGGGGTGGGCGCGGAACAGCGAGGCGTGGGGAGGCTCGAGGGAAAGAGGCCCACTAAACAGCTAGCCGGCAGCCAGGCGGGAGCAGAGGCAGGAGAGAGACGGGAAGTGGGAGAGCGGGGAGGGGAAGGTCTCGAAGGAGGGGCGCTCAGAGGAGGGGAGCCGAGCGGCAGGGCCTAGGGGTACCGCGCAGAGAAGGACCCTGCCTAAAGCAGACTGCGCTGAGCACTGGGTCCTTCCTCACCTGTGAGCTCCCTAGACCTTCTTTCTCTGGGGCTAGGGAGTGGGCATCACCGATCCAAGTTAGTAGATAGGGAAACTGAGGCCCAAGGGGGGAAACTGAGGCCTGAGGCAGCGGCTAAACTGGGGGTTTGGCCCAGGGCACCCTGCATACCAGCCTCCTCCCTGGTTTGAGGAGGGGACTGGAGCAATTCAGAGTCCAACTACCCTCTGGACTGCAAGGGCAGTGGAAGGTGAGCTTTGGTCTGGGACAGATGTCCAGCCTGAGTGGCACTGGGGGAGGGGGCCTGAGGGAAGAGGAGAATAAATAGGTCAAAACGAAAAGCTTAAGGTGACCTAATTTTTCTTCCTCACCTCCAAATCTGAAAATTTCCCTAGTTGATTAGGAAGGAAGGAAGAAGATAAGTGCCCGACTTCAGAGGGTCAGCCTGGAGCCCTTGGGGAGGGGCCAAGGAAGGGGGGAGTCTTTGGGGGCAGGATTAAGTTTTGGCTAAGTAGGCTGTTTCCACAGAACCTGTAAGAAGGGAGGGGGTTGAGAAGGACAATGGGGGGCTCCAAGGGCCTGTATGTAGAGACACTGACCTCTGCCTAGCTGGAGCCAGGGTGGTAGAACCTAGCAGGACATCAGGGCTGGGAGGAGTTGTCTTCCCCCCTCAGCACTCACCAGGGGCCCCTTCAATGGCTTCTATTCTTGGCTTGGACACCCACCACAGGGAGCTTGGGTTGCTGTTCTCTCAGGACAGCTGTGCAGTGCCAACCTGCCTGGCACTCAGTAGATGTTGATTTTGTGTCTGGCTTTTGATGAGCCCAACTCTCAGCTGCCAGGAATTGGCACCCTCCACCTGCCCCTGGTGTGCTAGGGAGGCCTGGGCTCTAGTCCTGGCTTTGCCACAGACCTTCTCCCTGGTCCTAGAGAAGCCTGGTGCTCCATGAAACCTACCCTCTAGAACTTTCCTGCTGGAACTCTTGAGAACCCAGTCACCTAGTTAGGCTAATGACCCTCATGGAGGTGCTGATAACAATGACTGGCTCATGCAGTTTTCTTGAGGATGTCAGGTGGATGATGAATATGTGCCTTAATGGAAAGAAATGAATGGAGACATTTCATGGGGGGCAAGAAGGTATTGGGGGCAAAGGGTGAATCAGCTGTTTAGCCCATCAGGTTACAGCTATCTCTTCACCAGTTTGCAAAGCTTGGGCCACAGGTCCATGAGGAGGGTGTGAGGCCAGGGTGATGGTAGGGGACAAGCCACACAGGGATATACAGGAGGGCCGGGAAGGTAGGAAGCTGACCTGTGGTACCTACAACCCTTCTTAGGGCATGATTCCTCTTCTGGACCATCAGGGTGGGGCTGCCATCCTGAAGGGGCCATTTGAAGGTGTGATTCCAACCGGAAGAGGAGGGAAAGGACAGCAGGACACTCCATGTGGGACCATAAAATCTCAATGGGGGCCTGGCACAGGCTGAAAGCCATTTGACCTTTTCCCTGGGGCTGCAAAAAGTTTCACAAGAGAAGTCAGGAAGTCAGGGTGGGGGTGTGGAGACAGGTGGCTGAGGCAGGCGACACCAGTGCCCCACTCAGACCCCCAGAGGTCGCCTGCAGACAGTTCCTGAACTTGCTGTGCTTCCCCTGTCTCTGGAGGCCTTCTTGGTTGTGTAAGTGAGAGGCAGAATTAACATCCCCAGAGTAACCCTCAACCAAGCAGCATCCAGAGTGAGTGGATAAATACTCTAGGATTTGGTCCCTCAGTGGGACAATTCCCGATTTCCAGGCATGTTCCAGTCTCGGAGAGAATTAAACAGAAGCTGTCCGTGGTGAGAAGCTACTTATATCCGTATGCGTTACATGCCTGCCTCCCGTCACTGAATCACTTCCCTATCCTCTCAACCTGCTTCTTGGGATCACCTCCTAGGCTATTGGCCCCCAAATCTTTGTGTCAAGGTCTGCTTGTGAGGGAACCCAATCTATGGCAATGAATGACAACTATGTCTCAGACCGAGTTAAGTGATTTTCACATCCACTACCTTATTGAATTTTCTTAACATCCCCTGAAGTAGATGTCATTCACCAACTTTTACAAATGAGGAATTAAGAGGTTAGTTCAGGGGCAGGATTCAAACCCAAGTCTGTCAAGCTCCAAAATCTCATCCTCAACCACTATGCTCTGCAGACTCCCTAATTCTCTGATGCTCTCTGAGCCTTACTTGTTCAACTGTAAAATGGTGATGATGGTGGGGGGAGCTTATAAACAGGAACAGTTTATTGCTTTCAGTTCTGGAGGCCAGAAGTCCAAGATCAGGGGACTAGAGTGGTGGGGTGGGGTGGTAGGAAAGGTGAGGGCCTTCTTCTGGTCAGATCTACATCCTTACATGGGGAGGGGGTGAGGGACCTCTGTGGGGTCTCCTTTATGAGAATCAGGGAAGGTGACACAAAGGAGGTTATTTCTAAATCATGGTGAAGATTTGACATAGCGAGGTAAAGTGAAGGGGAAGGATGCAGGTGTGGAGGTGGCATAGATGGGGTTTGGGGAGGGGACTGCAATGACTCAGTTCAGGAGGGAAGGATTTGTGAAGGGAAGTTATGGCAGTTACGGTGTGTAGGGCTTACATGCCCAGCTGAAGAACTCAGTTTATCCAGCAGAGGTAGGGCTCAGAGCTGTGTTTTAAGATCACTGGGGCTGCAGAGTGAAAGTCAGAAGACAGAGGAGTGAAGAGGCAGGGAGATCTGTGGGAGACACTGAGTGTCCAGGTGAATCTGAACTACACAGGACTAGTAAGAAAGGCATCACAGGAAGAGAAGAGAGCTGGGAGAGAGACTGGGAAGAGAGGTTCAGAAACTGACAGAGAGCAAGCACACACAAACTTGCAGTTTAATTAGCTTCCAGGTTTGCTAGTGAAAGCAAGGGGATTAGTAGCGTTTGGAGTCTAGGGACCTTGCTGGGAGTTGAAGGGAAGTTAATGATTAAGACAATAACCTGCCCCAGGGAGAAATGAGAGGAGGAATGGAGCCAAGCAGAGATGCTGGCAGGAGAAACATATGTCAGGGCCCTGAGTCCACCTTCCTCAGAGATTTCAGCCCTCTAGGGAAGTAGACCTTTATAGCCTCTGGATTGGGCTCCTGTTCCCATCGCCCCTGGTCCCAACTCCTCTGAGTACTTGGTAAGGGATGGGAGGGGAGAAGCTAACAAGGGCTGTGAGGATCAAATTCCCAATTCTCCCTTGGCCCTTTTGTCAGAGGGGAACTGAACCCCAGGCCCTTTCTACAGATGGGGAGGTTGAAGCCAGGATGGGGAGGTGACCCACTCAGAGCTGGATGTGGCTAACTGCATTTTCCAAAGACAACTGTGACAGTATCTCCCATCCCACATGCTCTTCTTACACTGTGACCTTGTCAACATCTCTCTAAGAAGAGGACTTAGATTTAGTCATAAAAGGTGATGCTGCTTCTGCCTGGTTCTCTCTTGAAACTCTCACACTTGGAATCCAGCCATCATGATGCGGGAAAGCCAGTCCACATGGAAAGGCCATGTGTAGATGTTGTAACCAACAGCCCCAGTTAACACGAGCTACCTACTCTACAGTGTCCTATGCAAAATGAAAATGCAGGGTCTCTTGCTCAAAAATTAAGAATTTGAATGGTGCCAATAGAGCATTAAACTAAGCACAGAGCTCTTCTAAGATAGAGCCTTGTGTAGCTGCCCTGGTTGCATCCCATGAAGCTGGCCCTAACCCAGTGGAGGTTCCTGCATCAGCTGCTCACAATATGAGGAAGCCACTGTCTGATTCCAACTGTGTGAGGGGCCGTGAGAAAGAACCACCTTGCTGAAACCAGTGACCTCCAGGCCCACAAGGGATATAAAATAATTCTCCTTGACCCATGCTGGCAGAGAAGACTGGGGGCACAAGTAACTCCAGACTGTCAGGAGCCCCAAATCCTATATGGTTGGCCACAGAATGCTGTTTGTTGACACTATGATCAATACACCCTTAAGGGCAAACATCAGCTTTGCAGTTTGAGGAAGCTGGGAAAAGACCCATTCTTCTGTGAGCTCAAACAGTGGTGGCAGCACTCTGGCACAAGTAGTCTCCAGGGCCTGCAGGAGCCCCAGGGAGTGACAGTGGCTGGAAAAGAGGAAGGGAGAGAAGGAAGGAAGGGTATGTCCTGCCAAGGTGATTGAGGGAGAGAATCCCTGTTTGACAAGGAAGAGTGTCCTCTGATGACAGGCACTGCATTCTGGTTCTGAATGGCGTGTGTGTGCGTGTGTGTGTGTGTGTGTGTGTGTGTGTGTGTGTGTGGTGGTGGGGGGTGCCTGGGGAGCTGCAGAACTGAATCACTTTGCGTGTGTTTACCCCAGTGCAGTGCCAGCCTGTGGGTGGGTCCAGAGGGTCCTGAGTGACTGAGGGAGATGGTTTGGAATGTAAACATAATCCACAACCCAGTTGTCTCATTGTTGGAGGAGAGAAGGGAGCATGGAGATGCATGAGGCATATAGCAATTTATCATTTTGCTACTTCAGATTTCTGAAGAGTAGCCATAGTAAGAACATAATAAAGCAAAGTGGGAGCACTAGGAAAAGAAATTAATTTCAGATGGAGGGATTCAGAAAGGATTAATGAAGTGATGATGGAATGAAGTTGTGAACCCTGAACTAGACTTTGGCAGGTAACAGAGATGGGAGGAGACTTCTGTGAGAGGCAGTGGTGTCCCCATAGGAGTCAAAACAGAGTCACAGTGAAGAGCAGGGACTGTCATCAGACTGCTTCGGTTTAAAAACAGATCCATCACTGATTCCATGACCTCAGTTTCCTCAGCTGTAAAATGGGAATAAGAAAAGTATCTATGCTTCATTGGTTGTCAGAAGCATTGAAAGCCAAACTTGATGTGAAAGCACTTGGCACAGAGCCTGACTTATAAGCACCCAGTGTGCACTATTACTATTACTTGATGTGTTTGAAAACTGAATACTAATCTTGGTGGTTGAAGTACAACATTCAGGGATGTTGCCATGAGACAGGTCCAGAAAAGTGGGTTTTTAATCTGATCCATGAAAGATTTTAAGTGCCAGACTAAGCTGTCTAGACTTTATTCTGGAAGCCAGTGGATCTCAATCCTGTCTGGCCCAATTTCTTTCATAACAAGTATTTTGTAATGCCTCCTTCCCTACAGAAATGAAATTCAGAGAATGGAATCTACTGACACATAATTTTAAAAAATCAATATAATGCTTCAAGTGTGATATAAAGGGAAAAAGGAAACTAATTTTAATAATCTGTTTCTCAACATGTAAATACTTGCATTGCTATACTAGAAGAAATAACCAAAGAGAGAAGTTGCATGTCTATACTTTAATAGAGAATCACCACAAGTGCAACAACTGCCCACAGAGGATGATACAAGGGCATGATACCTGCAGCCCTGATGTCACTAGGAGCACTGACATCTAACATAGTGACTGACTCTTGGGAAGTGCCAAGCAAAACAAATTACAATCCTTCCTCAATTTATAGCCAAGTTACATTCCTGGAAAATTCTGTGTACATTAAAACCATGCAAAAATCATTTTGTACGTGAAAATAGTTAAATTGTTTTTCACTTACATGAATATTGTAAAGAATGAGAGCTAATGTTTTCCTTAACCAATTATCCTAAACATTACAGGATATGTAGCATCCCTGTTCCCTGGCCACTAAATGCTGGTAGTGTCCCACAATCCCTATGACAACCAAAAGTAACCTCTTACATTTCCTAACCACCCCTACTGCTGCTTTTGGGCAATGTGGAATTAGGAAGGGGCATGCTCCCTTCTGGCCTTTATGTAATATTATGTGGGAAGAATGGCACTTGGAACTACTGCCACTGTCTTGCAGTAAAATGGAGAAAAGTGTGAGGACAAAAGCTGATATATTGGGGATGCCATAATGGACAGATGGCAAGGGTCAGGGTCCTTGATGATGTCACTGAGGCACTGGTTAATACATCCTGGATTCACTCTACCTCTGGACCTCTCAGGATGGGGGACGATAAGCCCACTTCCTGGCTGAGCTGTTTTTTGAGTCCTCTGTTTCTTGCAATTACAAGCATTCTGACTTTTATATGTTATTCTCTCCACACCCTCACCTGGGTCTTGACTTCTTCATTTGTATATTGAAAGGATTTCACAGTCTCGGACTGTGAGTCTATGGAGGGAAAATATGGAGGACTTGGTGACTAGAATGCGAGGGGGGAAGGGAGGGCTGGCCCCACCTCTTGCACTGAGTATCTGGGCAGATGGCGGAGGAGGGGGGTTCTGTCTGGACAAGATGGTGACTAGTTTCACTTTGGGCATTTCGATCACACTTGATTTGGGGTCTGAAAAATAAGATTTACATTGTATCACCTCAATTGGGTAAAAAAAATGACATAGGAAGATATTGGAAGGACAAACACTGTAATATTTAGTTATTTATGGTATGTTCAGGGATATTTATTTTCTCTGTATAATTTTTTCTACTTCCCAAACTTTTACAACAAATATTTATTGATTTAACTTGAAAAGCAATTTAAAATGTCAATAAACACTATAATTTCTTTCAAATGTATCAAAAGAAGTAGATCAATGGATCAATGGAATAGAAGGTAAAATCCAGTATTAGGTCCAAATGCATATTGGAACTAGAATATTATAAAAGTGGTATTTTAAATCGGAGGAGAAAATATATATAACTTAATTGAAATGAGAACAACTAGGTAACCATTTGGAAAAAAATTACATTGGATCCATACATCATGCCTTATACCAAAACAAGTAACAAATGGATAACATATTCAAATGTAAAAAGAAACAAAGTCTGAAAGAAATTAAATGATAATTTCAAAAGTATTTCAAAGTGAGGAAGAACTCTAAAGTATGACATAAAATCCAGAAGTCATAAAAATATTGATGGTTACATTTTAGTACAGCTTAAAAGGAAAACATATTTACATGGTAAATTTGCCACAAACAAAATCAAAAGACAGACTACAGACTGGCAAGGCAAATATATCTGTAACTGACTTCACAAAGAGTAAGTTTCTTTAGTATATAAAGAGCTCTAAGAAGAAAACTCAGTAGAAAATGGGTAAAGGATATAAACAGTTAATAAAAATATAAATAACAGAGTGAGACAACTACAATAAAATGTGGTTTTTCAGGTTTTTCTCTTTTTGCTTCTCAGGTTGTCAAAGAGCAATAAGATTTATAGCAAACTATCAGTGAGGAGGTGGAAAAACACATTCATACATTGCTAGTGGATGGGTCAATTGGACAGTTGGGCAACTGGACAATATCTATCAAATTAAAAATGTGCATGCCTTTCACTCAGTGATTTCATTTCTTGAAAATTTGTTCTTCCAGATACATGCCCATGAGTTTGGAATGACATGTTACTCACTGCAGCACTGTTTTGTCACAGCATAATATTGGAAACAATCTGCATGTCCAGCAATAGACAGCCCATTGAATACATTCTGACATATGCAATCAAATACTATGTACCCTTTACAAAAGAATAAAGAATCATTTCATAAATGGGATACAAAAAGATACTTAGTATCTAAGATTTACTGTTAAGTGAAAGAACTAAGGTGTACAGTAGGCTACTATTTATGGGAAAGAGGTATGCATTTGTGTAGAATACCTTTGAAAGGATCTACAAGAAACGACGAACAGGAAGTGGTCTCCTCCTGGGAAGAGGAATGACTATGGGAAGAGAGACATACTTTTCAATGTCTCACCCTTTTGTACTTAAAATTAAAAGGGTCAGGGAGAACCACTATCTTTTTAAGCAGCTGCTCCATTCCTACTAGTTTCTATTCAAGTGGATGGCAGCTGAAAGCCCTCAGCCTTTCCCACAGGCACTGCTGCCAAGCTGTGCTTCCTCCATCCTTCGCATGTGCAGCAGATTTAAAAAAACAAACAAATTCTAAATGCAGGTCTTTCTACTTCTTTTAAATTCAGCATATTGGTTTCAACTGGTTTCAAGCTATTTTAAAATCTTGATTCTGACATTCAAATGGTAGTGCCTTTCCACCCAATAGTAGTGCCATCTGTGGTAGGCACAGATAACCACTGAGCTGACCAAATGCAGAGACCAGAAGTGTGAAATTTAAGACTCCTTCCCAGATTTATGTCAGTTGAATAACCAACTCGGGTGAAGGGGAGCAGTGGTTAAATGGGCTACAAATCCACCTGCCTGGACAATCTCTGAGTTGTTTCCCTAGTTGTCTCCTCAGCTTGGGGACATTACCATGTCCAAGGAATTTTCCTAGTTGCCTTCCAAATTAAATGATAGTAAATTATTGTTGGTATTATTATTTACCTTATCTTGTTCTTAGTTTAGGTATCAATTCTAGATGTTTTCAAAACCCCAGTTTAAATTACATTCTAGAAAATCTTTGGGGGGAATTCATCTCAAATGTACCTATCTAGTTTCCAGAATCTACTTTTCCTGAATATCAGGACACTTGCTGCTATTGAGCACTGTTGCCCCTTTCCTTTGCTCCACAGCCTTCTCAGCTACATCAGCAAAGGTTCCAGGATCTTATCTGCAAGTTTTTCATCACCTTGGGATTTGCAGTACATTTTAAGTGGCTAGCTGCTTTGGCTTTCTCTTATTATCTTATCTTCTACTTATACATAGGATTTCAATTTCCCATAAGCTATCCCACTTTAGAGATGCTTTTTCTTGATGGAAAACGAAGCAAATTGTGTTTGAGTATTCTTCTTTCTCACAACTGCTAACCTGATGCCTCCATCTCCAAGGGGAACCCTATTCTCACTTTATTCCCCTTGCTCTGAACATAACTAATGACATCCTTTATTTTCTGCACCTTTTCTGAGCCTCAATTTATCGAGGACTTCCCTCCCTTCCTTCCATCTCTTGTAAGCTAGCTGCCTTGTTATTTTCAGGTCTGTCAGA